AGCTCCAAGGGGGATTTGACCCCTTTTGGGGCAGCTCCAAGGGGGATGTGACCTCTTTGGAGGGTGGTGGGGCAGCTTTTGGGGGATGTGACCCCTTTGGAGGATGGTGGGGGCAGCTCCAAGGGGGATTTGACCCCTTTTGGGGCAGCTCCAAGGGGGATGTGACCTCTTTGGAGGGTGGTGGGGCAGCTTTTGGGGGATGTGACCCCTTTGGAGGGTGGTGGGGCAGCTTTTGGGGGATGTGATCCCTTTGGAGGGTGGTGGTGCAGCTCCAAGGTGGATTTGACCCCTTTGGAGGGTGGTGAGGCAGCTCCAAGGGGGATTTGGCCCTTTTGGAAGGTAGTGGGGTAGCTTTTGGGGGACGTGACCCCTTTGGAGGGTGGTGGAGCAGCTCCAAGGAGCATTTGGGCCCTTTTGGAGCAGGTCCAAGGTGGATTTGACCCTTTTGGAGGGTGATGGGGCAGCTCCAAGGTGGATTTGACCCCTTTTGGAGCAGCTCCAAGGGGGATTTGACCCCTTTTGAGACAGCTCCAAGGTGAATTTGACCCCTTTGGAGGGTGATGGGGCAGCTCCAAAGGGGGATCTGACCCCTCTGGATGATGGGGGGCTCTGAAGATGGTTGGGGGGGGCTTCTCCCCGCAGGTCTCTGGAGCCTCTGGACCCCGAGGGCGCTGCCCCCGCCGTGCTCAGCACCTTCCTGCCCCCCGTGCCCAGCGCCCCGCTGGACCCCCCGGAGCACTTCCCTCTGAGGAAAACGGGTCAGGCCTCGGGGGGTGACCCCAAATCCCTGCCCCCTGCTCAGAGAGGGTGGCTGGAGCCCCCCCCCCAAGGGGGTCCAGGCCTCACCCCCCGCCCTCCCCGCAGCGTCGGAGCCCAACCTGAAGGTTCGCTGCAAGCCCAGGAAGTGCCTGGAGCGGCGCAAGAACCCCCTGACCCGCAAGGAGAGCGCTCCCCCCTCGCTCAAGAGGCGCCCGCCCGAGCCCATCGGTGAGAGCCCAGCCTAAGGGGGGGCTTAGGACGGGCTTTGGGGTCGGCTCGGGGTGGCCACAGCCCGCCCGGGGTCCTGGAGCGGGAGCAGAGTCTCCGGGTTCCCTCCCTGGAACCAGGAGAGGACCTGGATGCGGATTTCGGGGGGTCCAGGAGGGACCTGCAGGGCTGGGAAGGTGCTAGGACTGGGGAAGATGGGGCTGCTTGGGGTTCCTCACCCTGGGGGGCTTAGGACAGGATTTGGGGCTGGCCTGGGGTGGCCACAGCTCGCCCGGGGTCCTGCAGTGGGAGCAGAGTCTCTGGGCTCCCTCCCCAGAGCCAGGAGAGGACGTGGCTGCGGATTTTGGGGGGTCCAGGAGGGACCTGCAGGGCTGGGAGGGTCCCAGGCCCCCTGGGCAGATGGGGCTGCTTGGGGTTCCTCGCCCTGGGGGGAAGATTCCCGTGCTGCTGGGGCAGCTCCAAGGGGGATTTGACCCCTTTTGGAGCAACTCCAACGGGAATTTGACCCTTTTGGAGGGTGGTGGAGCAGCTCCAAGGGGGATTTGACCCCTTTTGGGGATGGTGGGGCAACTCCAAGGGGGATTTGACCCCGGGAGCTCCAAGGGGAATGTGACCTCTTTGGAGGGTGATGGGGCAGCTCCAAGGGGGATTTGGCCCCGGGAGCTCCAAGGGGGATTTGGCCCCGGGAGGGTGGTGGGGCAGCTCTGGGAGGGCACTGAGGGACTGTGCAACCCTGCTCTGGGGGGTTGTCCCCTCACCCCCTGGGTGTCCCCCCAGATTCGTCCCCCAGCAGCAGTAGCACCCCCGTGTCTGGGTGCAGCTCCCCCAACGACAGCCTGCCCTCGGAGCACGGAGCCCTTCCCAGCACCCCCGGGATGGCCCACGAGGTGAGTCTGTCCCCACTGTCCCCCTGGGTGTCCCCAGTGTCCCCATGGCTGTCCCCA